CCCCCGACATCCCCCTGCCACTCCCCCTGCCCCAACATCCCCCACCACTCCTCACACACACCCATAAACCCCCCCACCCCAACATCCCTAACTTACCCATGACAGCGCCTGGGGCAGCAGGAGCACCATAGAGATGCTCTGGCCACAAAGCAGAGCACCTCTCTTGGAGGACTGACTCCCGGGTTGCCTCAGTGCATGGGTCAGGGACTGTGCCCTGCCCCGCTTTTTTCACCCGTGGTTTATTTGGGATTTCCAGGTACCAAATTTTGAGCCTTCACTGCAAATATGTAGTGTGGGGAATGTTTCATTGTTCCTGGCATGCATCTTGCTCCCTCTCAAACTCCTTTGAGATGCTGCAAGAGGCATGGGAGTACTGGTCTGGATGCACCCTCAGAGTAGGTAGTAATTGTTGTTTATCACTGGATCCCTCCAATTTGGTAATATTCTTCTAGTAATTAAATATCAAAACCCAAACCTTCAGATGTATCTGAGCTGCACTTATGGCAAAACAGACAGGTTGCCTGCTTGCCTGCCTTGATCTTGCAACTGGGTTCAATTTCATGCATAACTGAAAGCAACCTCTGTCTGCTACAGTAGCCAGGACCAGCTGAAACACAAAACTATAGCACTATCATCACTACACCCTTAAACATGGCCCCACCTAATCTTTCCAAATGAGGTACCCCCACAACATACTAAGGTAGCCACTGCTGGTGATTTTAAAGCTGTTCCATGCCAGAGGTGTGGAGAAAAGCAACAATATCGCAGCAGAAGTCCTTTCAAGATGTGGTTGTTTCAGACCTATATGGAAATTACTTTTTGTATATGTTAGTCAGAGAAAGGGGCAGAGAGGTATTGGGGTTTCCACTGTATATTTGCTTCATTCTTGGTGCCATTTGGATGGGCAGTAGTGTCAATGGGAATTTGTCTAAGTAAAAGCTGAATAAACACGAAGAAGGATATCAGAATTTGGACTAAAAATGTTACATCCTTGTATTTCCATTACTGTTACACCTGAAAAAAAAAAGGAATCCAGTCTTTCTAGCAAGACCCCTCATCATAATCTTTCCTTAAGAGATTTTTTTTCTCTTCATATTTTTTCAATTTATTTCCTAGGTATAATTGCCAATGCATTCTCATTTTCTATTTTGTGACAGACGTCATTTTAATAACTATGTAAACTCGTTTTAATATACAAAGGCACAAAAACACTGAGAACAAGGGAGAACTGAAGCAATTTATGTGTGTTGCATTTAACTGTCTTTTGCAGTTCTTTATTAGTTTTGTATTCCATCCACTTATGGGCTTTGGTCTACTAAGTTTCACTTCTCTAAGCTTTAAAACATGCTATTGGAATACTTATCTCTGCCAGATATGCAAAGCAGCCAGGGGGGATTCTGGCTTTACAAAGATAAAATCCAAGCCTGAGGAAGGCATCAGTTTCTGAAGAAACTGAAAAGAAAAAAGAAACCTTGGGAAAATGTGCAAAAGCTTATTAAATGTCTCCAAACTAAAAGTCACAATGAGCATTGCTGTTCAAAAAAGAGCATAGAGGTCATTGCGTTGTTCTGCACTGAAATTAAGAGTAATTGAAAAGTTATTTTCAAACAAAATATAAAAATGTCTAAGATCTTTTAATGTCTAGATTGAAAATCCAAAAGAGTTATTAAAAGATTGAACCATTAGATCCACCTGTTTTTTGAATTTATCTTCTCTTTTTCTTCATTAATTCCAAACCATGTTGATTCTATGTTCAGAAATAGTGTCTTGAACTCCTTTAAACACTCTCCTTAGTCATTTTTGCCATCTATTTGATCACTACATCCTCCTCCAGATGTGAGCACTTAACTCCCATTACTCTTTCTTGGGAAGTGAATTTAGTGTAATAGTATTGGTATGTTTAGCAACCCCTTCCTACTAGCACAAAGGAGTGCAATGCACATGTATCAAGACAAGAAAGTGTATCTATATCCTATTTGTGAAAGGTTTTACATAAATCATTTTCTCCCTAATTTGCAAGTACAAATTCTTATCATTAAATTGGTCAAAAAGGGTTCAGAACTGAATTCCTGTAGAATCATCAAGAAAACATAGGGACTTTCACCTGCCGGTTAGTAATGAAATGCAATCCAAAGTGGTCATGTCTTGAAATAACTATGGTTCCAGATTTATAAAATACTGAAAAAGCTCAATACTTGGTAAAGTTTAATCACATTAATAAGATTTATGTGTTTTCATTTTTAATTTATGAATTAGTATATTTAATTTTTTTCATTCAAACACAAAAAACTAATTTCCATTAAATTCTAACTAGCCCTAGACTTCAGTCTTAGACTGTTATATCCTTAACACATGGCAGTACTCTGTTAGTCCACCCAGGCTCCAAAACTCCTGCAAACTGGGTGCATCAGAATACATTGTCTCACAGTACATGCAGAGGGTTCCACTCCTGTGATGATTTCTAAATTCAGGGATCAAGAGATCAGACACAGAAAACAAGCCCAGACCTCTCAGGTAGATAAAAAACCCTAACTTCCTTTGATCCTTTACTCTTCATACTACTGTATCTTGTAAGCATGTTATGTAGGGGACACGTTCAAAAAAGACTCGGTCTTTGCCTATGTACACACATTCAAGTGATCTGGGAGAATTCCCCCAAGCTTGTGGTCCTGACAGAAAAATTTACACAGAGACCCCTGACAGACATTTGAATGCTGAGCTGCTGCGCAACCAGGATGCCGTTATGAACACATCTTAACCTACTATGGAGGCTTCCAGTACTATACAGGGAAAACTTGATTGGCTGATCCAGATTGCTTTCCGGGCTGTCTCCCTGCAGCACAATGAGGGGTTTGTGAAGGGGCTCCCTGTACAGCTGGAGCAGTAGAGTTCAGCAGGAGAGACATACTGTGTCCCTGGACTCAAAGGGTGGGTGGGAGCTGACAGCAAAGCAGGCTGGGTTGCTGGGGGACTGCTGCTGTTTCTCTTAGAAAGTACATGTACAGAAGTTCACTCTTCCGAGAGCCATTTAATCCTGATTGTATCAAAGTTATTTTTCTCTGTGTGCGCCTCTTTTTTCTCTGGGAAAAAAATCCTGAATTTCTGTACACTTGTGGATTCTACTGGGAGAGCAGTGACACTCTCAGATGAAGCTGAATATGTATACACAGCCTATGAAGATAGTACAGTTTATAAAACTAACAGTCTTTAAAAAACCCATAATGTTGATTCTTCCTTACAATCTGTATCAGCAGCTATCCAATCCCTAATTATTTGTCCCAAAGTCTGCAGGCTGGAACTGATGCCAATAGCCAAAAGGTACATGAATATTGCATGGCAAGAAGAAAGATTCCACAGTTACTGAGCATACTGACTGCAGTGGAGGGGAGGGAGAAGGACACCGATGTGAAGAGGACAATTAACTTCCTTGAATATTTCACAAAACCTAGCTGCATGGGTGACAGTGAAATTTTGCTAAAATAAAAAGTATGGAAATATCCTGTTGCCCATCATGTCAGTATATGTTGTTTTCAGCATTTTATAACATTTGGAATTAGAGTTGCATGGGAAAATGAATCACAATAACCCGATAGTAATATAGGCACAGTCCAACTTTATTTAATTTCAAAATACAACCTGTTTCTAAAGAATATGTGCTATGTGCCTTGTGCTGTACATTAAAATGATAGCAAACACTTCAGGAGGTTGTATATAAATCTCTCATATTCATTTATAGATCTCTGGGGCTCTTTTTGCTAGTACATTCCAGATTATCTCTTGAATATAGCTTCAAATGCTACTAGCTGCATAGCAGTTATATATAAAAGCAATTCTAAAACGCAACCTTTATATCCATCTGTGGCATGGATTTCATCACAGCTTTGGAATAGGCTTCAAAATACTACAGTTTTAGCTTCTGATCCTAGTCACAGCTGCAAAAGAAAAGAAGATTTTTTCACATGAATATAACTAAATAAAAATAAAAACAAAACATTCTAGGTAGTATCACCAAGTATAGTTTCTCTAAAGTAAACGTAGCTTCTCCAGTTTATATCACCTGACACTCTAGCTGATAAATATAGATGACAGAATCACAGAAATACAGATTTTGAGGGCACCTCAGGAGATCATCTATTCCAAGGGTACATAACTCAATCTATTGAGGGCCACATATAAGCTATATTTGAAGTTTGTTGATACCATTCTTAAATCTCCCTAAATAATCTGTTTTAGCACTTATCTGTCTTTGTAGTTAAAACATTTTCCCTAATAATTAACCCAAATAAAACTACAGATTATGTTGATTGCACTAAAGTGGCTACATTTTCTAAACATCCTGTTTTTGTTGTTTTTCTGTAAACTCTTTCTTAAAGTGTAGTGCCCCAAACTGGACACAACAGTGCATCTGTAAATGTATTCAAGATGATAGGTTAAATGTATCCTAAGGTATTTAAAGAGCTGCTTCGTCACCAGTGCTAGGTAAAGCAGAATAGCTGCTGTCTCTTGTTTTACATACAACACTCATATTCAGTGCGTGCTTCACTGTACCCCTGAACTCCTTTTCTTCAGTATCATTGTATACTCAGTCATTCCCCACTTTGTATTTGTGCATTTATGTAGTAGTTAGCATTTGTCTTTCTTGAATTTCATCTTATTCTCAGGCCATCTTTTCCAATTACCAAGCTGAATTTGAATTTTTCGCCTGTTGTACAGTGTGTTCACAGACCTCCCAGCTTGATGTCATCCACTTATTTTATAAATACACCCTTTATTTCATCATCTATGTTGTTAATGGAAATATTGAATAGACCCAGACCCAAGGCCAACCCTTGTGTTACCTCACTAAATATGTCTTTCCTGGTTTGACAGCAAGACCTGGATAACTACTCTTTAAATACCGTTTTTCATTCATTTGGGCATCTGCCCTTCAGAAATTTCATTTAGACCATCCTTCTCCAGTTTGCCTATGTGCATGACGTGTGACTGAGTCAAACCCTTACTTAAGGCAAGATATATCACATCAACTGCATCCTCTCAATCCATTAGGCCAGTTACCTTGTCAAAGAAAGAAATGAACTGGTTTGATACGATTTGTTCTTGACAAATCTATACGTGCTCCTTCTTGCCACCTTATTATACTTTAGGTGCTGACACATTGATTAACAATTTGTTCCAGTATCCTTCCAGGAAATTAAGTTAAGGCTGCTTCTTCTACAGTTCCTGACACCTTCCTTCTCCTTTTTTTAGCACAGGTCATACATTTGACTTTCTCTTGTCTTTTGGGACTATACCCATCCTCAGTGGATCTTAATCACTAATGGTTCAAATATTGCTTTGAAAAGTTCTTTAAATACTTTAGGATACATTTAGCCTACTATCTTGAATACATTTAATTTATCTAGCCGTCTTTAAATGCTATTTCTGTGTTCTGTCCTGTTTCCCATGACCTTGTCGTCGAGATTAATTGTGCTAGGCATCTGGCCAGTTAACCTTTTTGTGAAGACTGAATCAAAGAAGCCTTCTCCGTATCAGTTATTTATCACATTCTCTATTTAGTTATAATCTATATCTACATTCTCATCTCATGTACTGTCTGAAAGACTTGCATTAATTTACCATCATTAACATTAATGGACCTACCCAGGCATAAATTTACCTGTAACCAAGTACCTAGTAATCTGAATACATCATGTGCCATTCATCAACCCTATTCTTTGTTCTTGTTCATTCAATGCATTGCATGAAAAATTACAGCCTTTGGGGGAAGAAATTTATCTTTGCATAAATTCTCTGAAGTTGTATAAATTCTATAGCACACACTTAAGTTCTATAAAATATTGAATAAAAGCTGCAGAACACAAAAAGGAGGAGAAAGAAATGATTTTTTAATTAGGGAGATTCCTTACCAGTTGTCCTTTAAATTTGTGTTCTAAAGTAGCTGTATATTTTTACTCTGCTGTATGACTATATACTAGTAGATACTGGTAGAAGGGACTGTTATTGACAGAGCATAATCAAACCAACTAATTCATTAAAATAATGTAGCTAGAACAGTCTATCACATTATTGGAACACATGCAAAATGCTGTTAAAATGAAGTTAATGTTAATGGAAATATATTAGTGGTTTGAGTATAATCAAGACAAAACTGACTTTAAGCAAAAAAAGGAACATTAAGAAGTCAATACTAGACCTGGCAGAGACACAAAATTGTCTTTTTGGAAACCTGTAGGAGAATGATAGAAGAGTGAAAAATGAGTAGAAGAATATAAATATTGCAGTATGTTATATATCACAATGCTATGAACATTTCACTTGTGGGTAATTTGCCCCATATGATTACTTCCATCTTTCTAAACACAAAGTTCTCTACAGTTATGATCCCCAATTTTGTTTATTGTGTTCAATATGATTATTCAAGTATGCAAACATTAGTAGGATTATGCCTGTAATGGGCTTGGGGGTCCACCCCCAGCATCTGATAACCCCAGGTGCTCAGACCTACCCACTGAACTCTTCAGCCTCCCTCACCTCCTGTCTCTCACCATCTTTGGTGCTCCCCTCTCTTGAGGCTCCTTCATCCCCAAGTTCAGTCTTGGGTCTCCATACTTCCACAGGGGTGCTCCACCTTTAAGACAGCCCCTACAGGGACTTATCAAGACTAAATATGGTCTTGCAGACCCTAAACCTGCCCACTGGTCCTCATGGTGTCTTATGGGGTATAACTGTGGCCTCCAACTGCCCCCATCGTCATGCCCTTGCCTCATAGATATTACTTGGTCCCAACCCAGAGCAGGGCCCTCTGGCCCCAAACCAACGCTCAGCCCCTCAGGGCACAAAACATATGTTTGGGCTTCAGTCTCCACAGCTTTGGCCCTTTTTCAATGCCTGAGCCCCCCAGCCCAGGTTCACCGCCTCAGACCTGGCCTTATCCTTTCATATTCCAGCCCAGAGTAAATCTCAATCTGTAGAGCACCCCTGGCACCCTGCTATATGGCCTCCAAATTTCCCCCATAGCTGCAACCTGGTCCTCTGGCCTAATTTGAACACAGAATGCTAAGCAAATGGTTCCAACTCAAATGTGAACTCTTCCTTGGGTCTCTACTTTCTATAGCTCTCCTACCCTATGGGGCAGGCTCGTTCCCCAAGCCTCCCAAGTATCTTGCTTAGACTGAAACACTCCTTCCAGCAGCCAGTTTTGTTCAGAATTCCTCCCCCTCTGACAGCCAGGGCCAGACTGCCCACCCAAGTTCAGATGTCAGGCTTATATGCACCTACGTCCTTCTCCTTTCTGGTCACCTGACCCAGCTCTCTACCAACAGGACCCAGGAGCTGCTGACTCCCTAATCAGCATTTTTGCATTCTGTGGCCTGCAGCTCACTTTAAACAGGCTACTCACACCTGCTGCCCCTGTCATGGTTTTGTTCCCCCTTCCTAATAACAGGGGTAGAGTTCCCCTGCTAGTGTCTCAACTAGTAAAAAGCCATTTCAGTAGATAAGGTTTGGTCATTAACAGTATCTGAATAGATACAAAGTAGCCTGACATATAATAATTTATACAACAATAAGGTTTTTACATAGTATAAAACCTTCAGAAAAATACAGTTTAAAATACATGCCTCTGAATAAGCTCATGCCTCTTTTTATTACTTATATCAAACCAGTACAAAAGCCACGCCTGAGAAATGGATAGAATTCATTGATGATGGCAGTTAAAATGACATAGGCTGAATGTGAAATATCAACATGTCAAATTTACATAACGCTGCTATCCTGTTAGAGATGTTGTATTTGAACAAGTGCCTAAATAATGTATTTCCTATAAATTTATCCAGAAGACATTTAGGAACAAAGCTTATAAGCATATGAACTATAAATCAATGCTTATTTTTTACAGTAATACCATCATAATCCAATAATACCCTTTCATCATATTAGGGTAATAGTCATGGCAATGGCAAAAAAGTGTTTTCTATGTTACATTCTTCTGGATACAAACAAATTTTACTGAAGCCAGTAGATTTACCTGAGATTTACTCTGTTGCAAGTGGACATATTTGGGCCCTCTAAATATTAGTCATAGTTTCATAGATTTCATAGACATCAGGGCTGGAAGGGACCTTGGAAGATCATCGAGTCCAGCCCCCCGCCCAAAGGGCAGGAAGTCAGCTGGGGTCATAGGATCCCAGCAAGATAAGCATCCAGTTTCATCTTGAAGGTGTTCAATGAAGGCGCTTGAACCACCTCCGGTGGCAGGCTGTTCCAGACCTTTGGGGCTCGGACAGTAAAGAAATTCTTCCTTATGTCCAGCCTGAAACGATCTTGAAGTAGTTTGTGACCATTCGACCTCGTCATCCCTTGGGGCGCTCTGGTGAACAAACGTTCCCCCAGATGCTGGTGGTCACCCCTGATAAACTTGTAGGTGGCCATCAAATCACCCCTGAGCCTGCGCTTTTCCAGGCTAAAGAGCCCCAGGGCTCTCAGCCTGTCATCGTAGGGTCTGTTTCCCTGACCTCTGATCATGCGCATGGCTCTTCTCTGGACTCTCTCAAGCTTCTCCACATCCTTTTTCTCCACATTCCTTCAGCATCTGGTCCATTTAAGAAGTTAATGACTATGCACAGTCAACATTTGCAGTTACTACTCTCTTACATTAAGCAGCAAAAGCTGCAACTGTTAATGCTTGTTTAGGCATTCATTAGATTTTTATGTCACTAAACCATTATAGGAGCATTGAGTGGGACTAGTAATGTGGTGCTTGCTCAGTGAAAACTCATGAAAGTCAGTGAGAGTTTTGCTTTATGGAGGGATACACACTGGCCACATCTACACATGCACTTAACTGCAGAATAGACTAATTCGCTGTGGAGTAGAGCATCACCATCTACACATGCAATGCTATTAGGCTACAGTAAACTAATTAATTCTGCTGTCAGGGACAGTACTATCTTACAGTGGGGTTATTAGCTGTGATTAAATGCATGTGTAGACACTCACCACAAGCATAAATTATACCCGGTTAGGCCATCCAGCAGGGAGTCAGGCTCCTGCCTGGCCATATGACTCTGAACTTCTAGCATGCTCATGCCCCAGTGAGCCCATCCATCCACTGATGCTGCCACCTGGAGCCTGAGGCTGACACCCTCCCCACAACCTATACACACACACACACACACACACATACACACACTCCCTGCTAGCAGGGCAGGAGTGGCCGTAGTATAGACTGTTCCACCCTGATTCAAACTTCTGCTGTCCCAGACACATGTATAGACACTACACTCAGGAATAGTTTAGTCCAGATGAAACTGCTCCAGAATGTATTGCTTTGAATTAATTGCATATGTAGATGCACCCATTTTGACCCAAAATATTTTTCCAAACTTAGAAGAAAAGAAAGAAGAATTAGCATTTCAGAGATCGTTGTGCACTGGGATCTTGCAGTATCTTAGACTGTTTTTTTAAATTGGGTAATTCAGGAGTCTTTTAGCTTGCTATATGATGCTACATGTTGCCTGAATTCCTAAATCCATTACTTAACAATTTACTACCTACTAGGCCTTTAAACAGCTCTACTATTTGAGCCTGGCGAAAGTCAGAGAGGGAATATAGACTTTGCTTTGCCAAATTACACACCAAACAGAGTTCAGGTTGGCTATATATCTGGCAAAAGATTGACCCTTAAAATGTAATTTCTTAGGACAAGGACTCCTTTATACTGTGGACATGTTACCCTCTGTGGACTTCTATGTATAGAAAACCTAATAATTGTTACCATTTACAATATCTAATGCTGATCTTTGACCTGGGATATTCCATAGGGAAATATATACAAGAACAATGCATAACATCAGATTATACTAACATTTTCATAGGTTTTATATTGCAGAAGTTTTCCCATTAAAGTAAATCAGAAGACTAGCTTCAAGGGGAACAGGTTGTTATTTTTTTTTAATCTCATGAACCTGCATGAATGATTGTGACTATCAGTGAACTCAGTGGAGCCAAGGAGCCTTAATTTCTCTTTTTTTTCTTTTCTTTTCTTTTTTTTTTTTTGGTAAATCAAGACCTTACATCACTGGATACCAGATATTTATTATAGATGCTTTAGAGACCACAGGCAGAATAACATCAATATATTGTTTAAACAAAATAACTCAGCTAACATCATATGAGCCTAATGAAGCTTTAGAATGGAAACAGGATCAAAAACTTAATCACAATGGCATCTGAATCCTATATATTTCAATATAAAGGCAATGAGAACATATACTTAACAACAGTGTGTGGAAGCTTTTATTGACTCTGCATTGATATGTTTTGCACCATGTCAAAAGGCAAACTCAGTACAGGGCATTATGAGTGCAGTTATAACACATGCATCATGACTTCAGAACTCTATAGATCTGTTTACTGTAACAGATGATGTTAACTAACTGGAATTACTGGCATACCTCTTAAGCAGTGTCCCTCTGCTCTTCTGCAGGCATGAATCTCTCACTGTGGAGAGTGCTTTCAGGCTCTGGAATTTTTTCTTTGCTTGTTTCTTTGCTTTCATGGGTAGGCGGCAGGTTTGATTTGTTTTGTGTTGTTGCAGAATGAAGCTAAATTTGCATTAAAATAAAGTATGGTTATTCTAATTATGACTATATTTTCAAATGAGTGCTTCTTTGGCAGGGGGGGATAAAATGAGATATTAAATGAAAGTGCAACAACCCCTCCATACATCTTCTCTCCAAAATCAAAATAATTTATAATTATGTGCTAATAATAATTCATAATTCATTACTGCCATGTTGGTATTATTGATATTTTCTCACCTTATAATTTATTTAAGAAAGAGTATGTCTGTAGATGGTTTCAGATAAATAAATTGGTGTGAAAAGAGGCTAGGAGACAGAAAGGTCTGGGATTCTCATTACAGCACAAAAAGTAATGTCAGCCTTGTCACTTGAGTGACTTATGCTTCCATCCATTCAACTGTACAAATAGGACTTTGCTAAGAAATATATGCCATAGCTAGGGCTGAGGTCTGAAGTTTATGAAAGCTATAAAAGGGAGTATGGGAAACAGAGCATAAGAGGGTAAATTCAGCATAATTTGTTTCTCCAGTAAGGAAAGGGTTGTGATATATTTCCATCTTTCTGAACAAGTACTACTGCAGATGGTTAACCTTGATCAGCTCCTGCCTGTTTTTCTCTGAGTTGAAAGGCAAATAGAAAACAGCATAACTATTGACTTGAGGATTCCCCAGTGTCAAACAGTAGCCAGGAAAACAGGAATATGGCCATAAAATGCTCCAGAAAGTCTCTATGGGTACATTCAGGCAACAGTGCACATGATGTGTGCAACACTGCAGACCCATCTGCAGCACCAGAAACTGCATACACCACATATGCAGACATTGCCACACTGCTAATTTGCAACATGGTAGATTTTTTTGACACTGGAAGATCCAATTATAAAAAAAACCCCACCTCTGAAAAAAATGGGGTGGTGCATGTGATGGCAGTGTGAGCTTCCCAAAATCAGAGCCTGGCCAGCTGGAGCCATACCCCAGCTGCCAGCCAAGCTCTGCACACCAGATCACTGTCACTGGAGCACCAGAAAGCCCCCAGGACCGCAGGTAAGGCTGCTGGGGCCAGCCCAGGTGCTGGCCGCAGTCTCCCCTACTGGGAACAATTTGCTGTGCACCACAGTGCATGTGCACAAGTGTTCCCAGGTTCAAGTAGCAGTGGCACAACTATGTGCTACTACTATTTGTTCCCATAGAAATGCATTTATGTACTCAGCTGGATGTACCCTATGTGGCCATTACTGGCTGCTGCCATTCAGAAGAGTGTCCCTAATGTTCTCCAAGCCAGCTTCAGGATTGAGGATATAAAAATTGCACAAAGCCACTGTCTACCACACTCAGGTAATATCTCTGTCGCAGAGCACCCCGGTGCAGAGAAACTGCCAGGGAGAGAGAGAGAGCCCTGGCGGGTCATAACGAGCCCAGCTGAGTGTTGCCAGGGTAACAAGCCCAGCTGCGGGTTGCCGGGGCAACTAAGTAGAGCCAGCTGCCTGTAGGAGGCAGGGCCTGGCCCTTATAAAGCCCAGGGCTGAGACCAGGCTGGCAGTTCCCTGCCAGCAACTGGAGGGGCAGGAGCTCCCTCGGCCGAGATATAGCAAGAGGCCTGACTTGCAAGTACAGCTCACTATAGCCCTGAGAGGATTGGGCACTATGGTTTAGCCAGGAGGCTCTAGTTTATGTTCAGGCTTGCATATTAGACCGGAGGCTTGGGTGAGGCTGTAGGGGTTGGAGGAGGCCTCATAGGGACCCCAGAGGTGTGGGGCCCCTAAGCACAACCAGTGGGTTGCGGGCGGGGAACAGACCCCGGGTTGTATG